GTGCCCAGCCTGCTCTCCACCCCTGCTGAAGCCAGTGGGAGTGAGGGGCACTCGACAGCACCTTACTCCTAAGTACTATTGTAAGACCCTACTAGTATTGATGCATGGGTTGGGTAAGAATAAGACAATACTGAAGTTCCTGTTCCACCAGAATGTTGGGGAGAGCAATAAATCATCACATTTTGGTAACTGGGCATTCTTTTAAAACATTGCACAATTTTGTCAAGACAGGAAACCTCAGAATTTCATAATTTTTAAATAGGGATTGAGAAATCTCAAAGTTTTGCATGCTATGATTTTACTATGGCTTCCTGAATGCCTGTGAGAAGAACACTGACACTACTGTGAAAAGATAAAAAGGATGTTGCAACAAAAAAATTATTGCAGTGGTTGCTCAGTTAATTTGGAAGGAGACAATTTTTTTTAGCTCAGTGATATTAACACTACTCTGTAATTCCACTGCAGAGGTCAAGATTAATTACAGAAGCTTTCTATTTCAAAAGTTGGTTTGATGTTCCAGCTCTTATATCAAGTGCCAGTGAAACAATCAACAGTTGTCTGGATTTGTTTTTGGTTCCCCCCTGCATTTTAAGATCTGTTTAAAGAGTTTTTGCAATAAATACTCCCTTCATCTACTTAATTTGGAAGTCACCTCTCATAATTTCTCATCTTCTTACTGCATTACTTCAGAATGATTTCATCCCAGGTGGTGACCTTATATAAAATCCAATGTCAATTAATGGAAGCCAGAAAGCCTTGAGTTGTGTGGAAAGTGAGAAAATAAAAATAAAATACACATGTGCTGGCCATGAGAACTTTGTTTTGACTCATACCTGAGAGCTGAGTTTATTCAGTTGAGACTGTAATCTCTCATTAACTTTCTGCAAGGCTTCTTTCTCCCCATTAAGTCTTTCTCTGTCAGATCTCTCCTTTCTGAAGTCTTCTTCATATATCTGTACCTGCAAACATTATGATCAAGTATCTGAATTGCAGCAGAGCCACAACAGAAGTTTTCATCCACTTTATTGTTTGGTTCTTTTGTAAACAGTGACCAAGCAGCCTTGTGCATTCCAATGGGATGCCTCCTCTTTACAATCCTGCAACCAAACGTTCCCCTCTCCTTTTATGACAGAATGGCAAGCAATGGGTGTTCTCCAATGGCACCCATCAATCAAAACAGTCCATAGCTTCAGTATTCATAGATCCTTATAATTTAAAAGGCTGACTGGTGGATATCATTTTTCAATGTTATCAAAAAGATAGCAAATAGTAAAGACATCAATCTTTCCAAAGGATAAACAGTAGCCAGATAAACATTTAACCAACATTTTTTCCCAGTTTTCTCTTCAATTATGAGCCTTTTTAACTTTCTCTTGTATCTCAGTTGCAAGGAGTTTGCATCCATTGAGATGGAAGGTGTTGGCACAGCACCAAAAACTGGCTTCTGTCACAGTCTGACAGAGCATCATCCCTTTATCCAGCCTAATGGTAAACCACTAACAGCAAATATCATCCTGCCCACTGAATAGCCTTGGCCTTGAGCCTGCTTTGTTTTTTTTGTAGTTGTCTGTGGCTTTACCTTAACCACTGCACTCGCTGTTTCACCAAGGTGTGGCCCAAAGGACTAATCCATGCAGAATAAATGATAATATTTAAAGCCATGGTCACATATTAGTGATCAGAAGACCTGAACAAGTCCAGACTGTCAAGGAATTTAGACCTTGGCTGGAGCACTGTGGAAAAAAAACCAAACCTGCAGGAGGCTATTGTGACCCAGATGTTAGAAATTGTTTGTGGAAAAAATAATTGCCCCATGTAGCTTTTGTCTGCAATACAGGCTGTCTAATTCATCCTCCCAAACTGCATCCCAAAGAACCTACATGCCAGAGTGTAGAAGCAGAGAGGAATGCTATCTACACAATTCCAAGTGGACCTGCAAAGGTTTGACCCTGTTCCTAGAAGATAAGCTGCCTTTAAAATAGTGAAAGGATGCAAAGGCTTCACTCTGTTTACATTACCAGGAATCATAGTGCTTCAAGCCATTAAAGAAAATCTGACCACCCCAGGCACAGGCAGCAAACGCACAGATTCAGAAGCTAAACACAAATCTGTCAATTAGCTGGTGTTAAGAAGACTGGCTTAATTCTTCACCTAAGAGGCAGTCATCCAGCTGGTAAGAAGCTGGAGGTTGTGGCACTTCTACTGACAAATAGCCGCAAAAAGCCCTTGGGGTGGGAAGCACCACCAGAACTTTCAGAAGTCCTTTCACATCCTCTTGGATGGTCACTACAGCCTGCTGACAGTCTGTTTCCAGAGAACTTGCTTGCTGTGGCTCATGCCTTGCCAGTTGTACAGACGCAGTTTTCCTTCTGCTGGCAGCAGCACTACGACTGCACATGAGTACTAAAGAAATGTTAATAGCTTAGGGGAAGAAAGAAGTCAACACAGGGCTCTATAAATTATTTTCACAACTTGCTTATTGCAGCTAATTTTTGCAAGGTTTTTTCAGACCCAACGGTCCCCCACTGGATATAATCCCCTTCCTGTGTAAAAGGAACAAAGACTTTCTGGGTGGTTGCATGGGGACACAGCTCCACAGCCTGTGCCTGGAGGAGCCATGCATGCCCCTGACCCTCTGAGGCAGAGGCAAAGCTGTCACAGAAATCTAGATCTCTTGTATCCCTCTCCATCCACACATTTTTCTCTCCTTAGTATTTCCTCATTTCTTCTCTCCCAATTCCCTCTCTGTTGTCTCACCTCCCTCCTCCTCCCCAGCTCATACCATTTGCTGAGGCTTCAAGGGAACCACTTTGTCCCAGTTTTTGCCTTATATTCTATTGCCCTGAGGAAGAGTGGGACATCTCCTAAGGAATGAAAGCCTTCATCTTTTCTGTCATAGCCAGGGATGAGCTGATGACAGCCAAGCTCTGGTGAGACTCTGTCACGTCGGTGTTTGTCCCAAGAGTCCTTCCTCCCTACAGTTAAAGTCTTCTGCTCCATTTTGTGCAGGAGGAAGTCTGGACTGACTGTACTGATTTATATAACTAGAAAAAGACATTCATAAAATGGATACCCCATGAGAATTCTGAAAAAAAAATTGGTTTATTCTATTTTATTGTGTAGAATGAAATAACTCATTACTGTACAATCAAGTGGAGGATTTTATTCTCCAGCATGTGGCAAGCATTACATTAGAGAGCAAAATCTGGCTCTGCTGTCAAACGTGACAGAAACAAGTATTTTATTCCCATTGAATAAAATTCCCATTCTGATCACATCCATTTGTGTCAATAATGTTAACCCTAACACTGTCCAGGATGACAGACCCAAAATGTAAAGTTATCTGAAAAGTATCATGTTTTTAAACAGATTCTTTCATATGGAAAGAAAAAGAATGCACAGAGCACTTGAATTGCTCAGAACAAAGATGAAAAAAAAAATTACACTTCTCTATAGTGATTGGTATGCAGGTTATGGATGCAAATGTTTTGCCTCACACTTTGAAAAATTGCACTAGTTTTCCAAGACTGGGATTCTTAGGTAATTCATTAAACTTTCAGCTTTTAAGAAAAAAGGGAAAATATCACACAACCCATGAAGTTTAGCATTCCTTCTGGATGAAATCCAGCCCCTAGCAGAGATCTGGCAGGTCATCTCCAAGAGTGAAGAGAGCCATTCTGCTGCTTCAAGTCCTACACATGTCCTTGCTCCAGTACTTTGCAAGAACTCCGTTTCACTTTGTGGACACTGATGTGATGACAGCATCTTATAAAACACCATCTGAATGGGCTACAGCTAAACTGGTTCTTCCTTTCAAAAGCTCTACACAGAAAGTCTCCCAGCCACAGTTCTTCGGAGAGAGTGCAAAATTATGCTGTAGGAAATCCACCCAGGCTTACTTCTAGCAGTTCTTACCTGCTGTCTGAGAACTTCAAGTTGGGTTCTCATGTCCTCAAGGCTGTTCCTGTCACCTTTCTCTGAAGGAGTCCCAAGAACAGGTGAGTGCTGCTTTTTCAATGCATCCAGAAGGGCCTACAGTGTCAAACAGCTAAATTACTAAACACAGATTCACCACGTTTTTTTTTTTTTAAATCCTCTTAATTTATTAGAATGTTTGCTCTCTAAATAAACAAATTAGAGTGAGTCACAGGTTTGTGCACTTCACTTGAAGTTGTTTCAGTTAAATGCACTGTATTTAAACCTCATGAATAACATATATGCATACTAGGTGAACATTTTAGCAATGCCCACACTACAACAATGAATTTGAGACAGTGTCGTTTAGAGGACTGTGATTTTATTTAGAACTACAGCAAACATTCACCTGTGGAAACCACAGCTGCAAATCTCATTCACAAATACTATTTCTCTATGTTTGGGAAAAAAAAGACGGGTGTCTAAACTCAGCTGAGGCCAAATTCAAGCAAACAAAAAACCCAAGAACATAAAACCAATAATCAAAGATGGCCTAAAAAAACTGACTGCAGTAAAAAGTCTGACTGAAAGGGGTTTTTTTCACTAATAGTACAAATTTCTTCAACCGGAAAAGTAAACCCTTCTAGTTAAAGAATTTATGTAGTCCCTGCAGCTGGTCACTAGAGGGAGTGAGGAATACACACACTACAAGTGGGAATGCTCTTAACTCTATTTTCAAGCCAAATTCTGCCACAGTTCTTTGCAGATTTTGTTGGACAGTATTACACACCTCTCCTTCAGACTGGAAAAACTTTTAAATCACTCTGTCTATAATCACACACTACACTTTTTTTTTTTTTTTTTTTTAGTCTAGCACAATTACCATTCAGTATTTTTCAGTGTCTCGCATGTCAGATGTGGAGTTAGGTAACTTCATCCATTTTAAAAAGCTGAATTCCTGCTAACAATTCCCAGCTCTCTCTTGCTAGCCACACTCCATTCATGCCATAAAGGAAGGAGGAAAAAGGCACAGGGGGAAGCGGTCAAGCAGAAGAACCAGTATCTAAAGTAACCCAAGGATTAGAATTATTTATCAAAATATTAATTAAAAAAAAAATAAATTTAAAAATAGTATTTTCCATGGAGAGCACCGAGATAAAAGGGAATGTTTTTGTCTAAAGAGCTGCTGTCCCTAAGAATTGTGCAGAACAGAAATGGGTATAATAGTGCCAAAGTTTGTGAGCCGTGTCAATACATAAATAAGTTTGAACATACTCCTGGGAGGATGAAGATGCCCATAGCTAACTGGTTAATCCTCCTTTTGCCCCTTTGAGCCACCGCTTACCCCCTTTGGGCTGTGACATTGTAGTGTTCTGCACAAATGTTAAATGAACAATGAAACCCAGTTTCACATCAGCGCTGAGATTGGGCATGGGCCACCAGCAGCAGCAGGAGCCAGTGAAGTCTGACAGCCCCACGGTGTGTATGACACGTTCCCTGGCTGACTGCCACCCAGCTCGTCTCCCAGGAGTGTGGTTTGTCAAGCGTACTGCTGAGGACAAGGAGGAGTGAACTGTCCTTCTCTTCTTCCCCTGCCTACGTGGGATACGTCTCCCTCTTGCTGACAACCATAGAATCACAAGACTCATTTAGTTGGCAAAAGAAATCAAAGTATCAATTTTTATACTTTTTTATATTTTTCTGGCAAAAGAAATTAAAGTTAAAAAAAAAGAAGAAAAAGGGGTTTTAATAAAGTTAAAAGAAATTAAACTATAAAATATTTTTTTTCACTATAAAAATGAGTCCAAGAAGGAAAGCATTACCCAGGAAAGCAAAACTAAAAATAGTATTTCCAATAAGGAGGCTAATGTAGAGCACCAGTGGCAGGATGGTTAACAACAAGGAAGACATGCCAATGAGAAAGCACTCACAGCTCACCAAGTTAAACTGAGCTTAACTTAATGTGGTGTTAAATAACATTCATTCAGAAGTACTGAGAACTAAAATCTAAAACTGCAAGACAAGCACGCAGAGTTTTTCTGAGTTTTTCAGCATCAAAAATGTAGTTGTGTAACTGAAAAGTAACTACCTTGGTTTTCAAAGCTATGAAAAGGATAAGTGGTCTTATCCTTTGCACCTAGAAACCTCTTATTCTAACCTCAAGACTGTCTTAGGCTTGGGAGGAAATTCTGAAGATAATTGAGAAATGAGATTAAGTAAAGCACTTTTTGACCTGATGTCCTCCATAAAAACAGATTTTCTTATCGGGGAAAATACATTAGAGCTTATTAGACTGTGTTTGAAAAACGATTGAGATGGTGCTGCAGTGAAGTTATTTAATAAGTCCGAAATTTGGCTTGCACTTGAACTATATGGTGAACAAGCAAACAACCACAGGAACGCCAATGAAGTTGGGATATAGTGTTGCAAACCATTATGGCATTGCAACATCCCTTTCATAGTGCAGACATCAAAGTAGGCTCAGATCAGGCTCTGTATTTGGGTACTCTGGGTGACTGGATCAAAGCTGGATGAAGCCAAAAGTGAAAAGGTCACTATACAGAAGTAAAAAGTACAGTCTACTTAGAAACAGGTAGTTGCACCTTCCATAAACTGAGAGCTAAGCAGTTTAAAATTATTGAGAAGAAAAAGAAATGCATATTAGCAGGGACAGTTGTATTTTAAAAGGTCAAGAGAGCTGGGTCAGCTCAGCTTAATCGCACCCTAGTGAAAACAGGATTGCTTTCTATAGCTATTGGGAAAGAGCAAGTGGCTCTGAGAGCAATCATATTTTCACTAGAAGATAGTTCTGCTTTTCAGAGAGGGCTGATCTGCTTCACACACAGAGCGTAGCAGATCTGTTCAACACTACTACCAGAAGAACAAATTAATATCATCTGGCCAGAATAAATTGGTTCCAGTTGAAACTGATGAAAGCATCTAACGGAAGAAGGGGCTATAGTTCTGAACTGCCTTCCACCAGGAGCACAGTAGAAGGAGCTTAATTCCTTTTAAGGTAAAAGTCTTCCAGTCTTACGTGCATTCGTGACATGAGATTTGAAGGATACAAATACCTAAGAAATCAGTAAATTACTCGTGGGAAAGCATGTTATATGACGTTGATGTTTCATTTAAAAGAACGGTCTATTTGCCCATCTGTCTTAGCTCCAACCACATCATACGGCAGCAAAACAAGACATCGAAATAAGCTGGTTGACAAGCAAGACCCTGAAAGTTACACCGAGGCTTTGAGCAAGTCCTGTCAATGCATTTCAGAAAGAACTAGAGATCATTTGCTCTGTCAGATTTTTTAATATGAAAACATAACCTTTCTGCCTTGACTTGTGCACATCACAGTTCCTTAGCTTGTGTAGCACTTAAAATCACACAGCAATGGTTACTGCAGTGTATTTCCTCAGGAAGTGTTCGTGGTTCACCATGAAATAAAAAATTGTTAGAAAACAGCCATTTTTTTATGATCTTTCAGTTGAACAAAGCTATATCTATTACTTTCTCTTGAAAAAAACAAACAAACAAACAAACAAAAACAAAGAAACAAAAAAAAAAAAAAAAAAAAAAAAAAAACCCCTTTTACATCACCAAACCCATTTAGCTATTTTATGGCAATTTCCTCAAAGACACATACATATACATAATACTTATATGAATGAATAGATAGATAGATAGATATGCATATAAATAGTAGGACAGGAGCACGGCTTGTCAAGAGAAGCCATTATTCTGAAACAGAGAATACAAGTTAAACAACAGCTTTTAAACTGTCTGGATTTTTTTTTTAATCAGTGTTTCAATGGATGCATATGAAAGTGCCATTGTGCCATTTTTGTTTTGTTCTAAGGAGGTGTAGAATACAGAAAGACCTTGCATATGACACAGAGAGCTTTCACAGGAGCAGCCAAAGATTCTCTTAACTTTCCTCTTCATGATGCAGCCCTACCACCTGCCAAGAACAGCATCCACAGGGATTAGCTGAAGTAAGTTCTAGTTTGTTTCCCCAACTCCCAAACAGTGATTGTGAGTTTGCTACCATGGAAAGGCTGTTCACCCAGAACTGAGAAGAGGGGTATCTGGTAGTGTCATTGCTTGACAACAGAGACCATGGAATTGAAGGAAGAGATCCTTTTCAGTGGCTGACTCTTGTTCATACCTTATTGAGACGACTTATTTCACACTCATAGTGTTCTTTCCTTCTGGTCATTGAGGCATTCTTCTGCTTCAGAAGCCTGTTCTCTTCCTTTACTTCACGGAGAGCTTCACTAAGGACCTTTGTTTCTTTCTGGGATGCAAAAATACAGAAGGGTGCTGCTGAAATGCAGATGGAACCGTTTTTCAAGAACAGTTTTCAGTATATTTTCTGGCTGGCAGATGTGCTGCATTTTTGTTGTCCCAAACACAGCTGAGAATGGAGGCCAACAGGAAGGCAGATGGTTAGTAAAACCCAGATATGATAAAGCCTGTGAAAATTGTTTTGACCACTCACCATATGAGGAGATAGAGACAAACATACCAGACTAAATTCCTGCTTTCTACAGCCTGCAGTTGCACAAAGGCATGAGAAAAGCTGGCAGGCCAAGCAGATCTGTAGCATACAGATGATTATCCCAAACCCGCATTACTCTTATGTACTCAGAGCGTAAGGCCAGGGCTAAATGCTGGTGGAGTTCCAGCCATTCCTAGTGTCATACAACACTGAAGACAAACCAGAACTCAATATCACAATCCAAAAGCTTTTTCCACTACACAAGAGACTGATTGCTGAAGAATTACTTCATTCCTTTGTTGTTAGTTAGTTGGAACATTTCATTTTCTCCAAACCTGGGCAAAATTAGCAGAGTATCTCTCCATTAACTATAGGAACTCACCTAGGAAGTAGCTCAAGCTGGCATGTAACTGTACGTTTTAAGATATTAAAGAAAAACAGAACACTAAAACCCACATAGGCTTTCTCATCACCTTTGCCATCCTCTTTTCCTAGCTCCTAGCACACATACTTTTTCTCAAAGGCTGACATCTCCATGAGCATGCCCACTTATAACTAAAGATTTCCAATTCATTCAGGTTTTTGAACCATCTGAATTTTTATGTCTTATTGTTTCTTATTCAATGCTGAATTTTATGTATTATGGCACCTAGACTTTCCAGTGACTAGGTTGGTCTTTGATTCTTGTCTATGGGTACACAGTCATGTCTAGAGAGAACAAACAAAAAACCTAAAAATTTTCAAACCAAACCGTTTTCCTCTGTGGGACATGGGAACAGATAAAGTTCACAACATCATCATTCTGTTAGAACCATACCTCCAGATGCATTAAAAAACAAAACAAAACAAAACAAAACAAAACAAAAAAACACCTCTGTAAAATAGCTGAATCATATAATCTGTCTTAGGGTTGTCTGGTGCAGCTGGTTTTCCTAAATGGCCCAGCAGAGCACCCAGAAAACTGCCACTCTGAGTAGACAAATTTGAAAGGTACTTTCAAGCTGCTGGACTACTAGCAAGTAGAGAACAAACACGTTTTTACTTTGCTCTGCCAGTTGCCCTGCACATCTCAGCCCAGCTCCATGGCTACAAGAGGTTAAGCAGAATATTTGAAAGAGTTGTCACCTTTCAAGAAAACAAAACAAGCAAAAAGCCATATACACAAACACGCAAAAAAGTATATTTAAACAAATGTAGGTATGAAGGATGTTGGTTGCTGCAGAGAAAATAACAGTAAAACCAACAAGAAATACAATATAACCTGAAGCCCTGAAAGTCTAATCTTGGTAGATATGTCAGCTTGGGCCTCTTCCGCATCTGCTGAACTTTAAAGCAACAAGCTCACGTGCTTCAGAGCTGAAGATATCTTCAAGCATTTTTCTGAATCATCCCCTGGCATCACTTTTCTTCACCCTGCCCCGTGGGCAGCACAGGATAACTTGAGTTGGCACAGCTGCTGAACACGAGTGCTACAATCCTGTTGCTCATGCAAAAATCTGCTTTTAGCAGCTGCCTCTGAAAAGCTGCTAAATGTTCTCCTGCATCCCTACATGACATACAAAAAGTAAAGCAATTCAGAGTAAATAGAAGCACTTACTGGCTGAGTAAATTTGTAAAGAAATTACTGATCTAAGGCTGAATTAGGTTAACCTAACCATTCAGGTTAACCTGTACCCACATGAGATTTCTCAATTATATTGTGATTTACTTCATTATTCATGTATGTTGTAGAAAAACTGGGAGAGTGTACTGCTCATCCTTACCTTTTCAAAAACACAGCTAGGGCTGTTTTTCACAGCTATCATATATTAAAGAGCAAGCAGTAAAATCTTAGTAATACGAACAAGAAGATGGATTGTCTCACGTTGAATCCATGCTTAGAGCACATAAATGCAATGATTCAGAAAGTACACAATGGCATAGTTTGCTTTAAAATATGTCAAGGACCCTATGGGTTGGAGAACAAGCACATGCTTAGCTAAGAGCATACAGCAATTCATAAGCAAGTAAGACGTTTGCTTTGCTTTTCCTGCATCAGCCAACTTATATCTTATCTGAGCCTGGAAGTGATGTGATTGCACCTTGTTTTCAGGTTTTTTCCATGTTATCAAGCAAATAGAGAAGCCTGACTTCAGCTGCCAGATCACCATCCAGAAACTCTTACAAGAGATTATGAAGTGTGTGATACTATGAAAAAGACTGAGAATAGGAAGCATCACTCTTGCAGTGCTTGTAAAACAGGGCACACAGTTTTTTGTATAGGTTGGGCACATGTATGTCCATCACTCAGGCTGGGGGTTTTATTGTGGTGGGAATTTAGCTTTGGCATCTAAATTCAGATGTGAACACCTACACAAGAGCCTGTGTCTCAGGAGTCCTGAGAGGGGTGCCCAACCACTGTCAGGGTGAGGTGAACACTGCTCTGGAGCAGCAAAGCACTTTCAGCCCTAATAACTGCACGGACTATATTGCTAATACGTGTGGGGAACCGAGATAACTGGCACATATATAAAAGCCTATAGTGTCAATAGCAAAAAAGTAGGTCTCTGAATTAATTCCTTCAAGTATTTATTGCCAGACACTTCATGTGACATCTGCAATGACCTTCCTATTTGATTTGAAATCAGTGTAGCGTTTTTGTTCACAAAGAAATTCACCACGAACTGAACAGGGAGAAAGGAAATCTCTGCAGTATTCATATCTATCTGCCCTTTACTCCCACACACATACTAATGCCCTGCTCTCCGCCAACTTCTGTTGAAATGACTCTCTCTCTATACATAGTTCTCCCGATCAGAGAGCAGATCAGCTACCGCCTTGGGTACAATATTGAAGAGCACTCAACACCACAGTCTTGTCACACCCACGCCCTGCCACTCACAAGGAGAGAAACAGAAAAAAGAAAGGCAAGGCAGCAGTTCAACACTGAGCACAACTGAGGTAACAGAGTGCACCTTCCTACCATTTCCTGCAGTTGCCTCTCTCTGCCCAGGGCTCGCAACCTCCCATCTTCTGGATGCTGTCGATGTCTCTCTTCCTCCAGCTCACCGACTCTCCTCTCTGACATGTCCAGTTTTGCTTTCATTTCTGCCAGCTGAAAAGCAAGTGACAGACCATGGTGAGCTGATCAGGGATGCTGAATGGCACAGCACCTCAAGGTGCCTTCAAATCCTTTCATCTCTTCAGCAGATCAGTGTAAAGGAGTGGATCTGGTTGCATGTAAAATCCCCAGCCACTGGCTTCCACTCCCCCTCCAAGCTACACTGCTTTGTCTGCAGTAGACACTCTCCATGATCTCAAACAAATTCTCTGTTGGTGTTAGCCCAGCTGGGTCTCTCACTCTCTCGTTGCCAAGGGACAACTACAATGGGTCTTGTCCCTTCAAAGGAATTATCCATTTTAATGTTCTTTTTTTTTTTTTTTACTTTTGTAGTTTGGACTCCCTCTGTAGTGGTGCACATCCAAATCTAGTCAGAGGCATAACATGGTCCCATATTAAGTGAGGAAAATCCATTTAAATTCCTCTTCTTTTTAGGCGAAGGAAAAACATCAAAGAAATTGTCTAGATCTTAGTAAAGCTTACTGGAAAACTAGAGAGAAATCTTTGGATAAGAACATGAGGTCACTTTGCAAACTTCCTTCCCATAGAAGCAAATGGGAAAAGAGAAGTGTCAGTCAATGAACTGACTTGGGTTTGGAATACCAGGCAAAACTGTAAGGAGTCAGCTTGGCTCGGCAGCCCATGCCTGTACCCCAGCCACAAACAAGGAATGAAAGCTATGCCCACAGGTTCTTGGCAAAAGAAAAGGAAATAAAAAGTATTTCTTTACTTTTTTTTTTTTTTAAATGAAGAGCTTTTGTACAGAGCAGTTTCTTAAAAGCAAAAAAAAAAAAAAAAAGCCTCTTTGCTTCTAGAAGGCAGCATTCAGATGGGAGAACCACCAACGGATACATGGTGATGCAGATCAGTGGCTGAGCACACCAGGCACTGCAGGCTAACCTGAACTTAATCGTGCTCTCAAGTATGAGCCGCTTTTGTTACCTTGTGGGGGGCACGAATCTCTCTATTGTCATGTCCAGATGCTCTGCTTCTCTTGTTATTTTTTCCTACCAAAGACTGTAGGTACATTAGCTTCACTTTTATGTGATGATGCTTTTTTTCATTTGTGACCTAAGGACAAAGTAAGTATAATGCCTTTCCCCCCTAGGATATTTACTATAGCTATGGATGGTTGGTGTCTAAGCCCAGACTTAACTCTCAGGGCAGAGATATTCCAATAGAATTAGTTGGCATAGTTACCTGTTTTTCATAAAGTTGTTTCATGCTTCTAAATTGATGATCCCATTGCTTGTTCACCTCCAGCAGCTGAAATTATCAGGAAGTCACAGTAAATAACCCTAATTTGAACACTGTCAATAAATAAAAAATAGACAGTTGTTCTCATCCTCCAGCTATGAGCGACCTCCTCATTATCTGGCCAGTTCATTGCAGAAAAAGCAAGTATAAGGTCTGGCAAGATTTACAGCCCATCTGCCAGAGCTTTTGTATTTCAGTTAAAGGACATAAACATTCAGGAAGTAACAGTCAGGAAACACGTACATACAAAATAAGCTACAGGTGAATAATTTCCAATGCTGTACAAATACTAAGCTGACTTTCTTATTAGTTTGCTTTAAGTTCCATAGACATATTTCCAGTTAGAAGGTCTCTGACTTCAAACAAGTGAATTGAAGACTCATATTGACTCCAATTACTACTGGGTACAAGTCGCCCTTGCCTCCCTCTGTACCACTAAAAGGAGCAAACATACACAGGCAAGATGGGAATACCAGCTAAGACCACACATCTAAGTGGTAGGAGTGAATTCAGCAAGACTGAATTTTACTGGAGAAAGCTAAACAGGTCCCTCTGAAGCATTTTTCTTTGTAGGATATAAGGTCACTCTTTAGAATGCTCAACAAAAGAATGGCTTCCAGTTTGCTGCTGCCTGTGACCGAGAGCACTGCCTACTCCACATGGTGGTTTCTTGGCCTTTACAAGAGGGATCACTATGAATTTTTACCCTTTGTACCATAGATGCATAGCTGCATTACAATAAGTCATCATTTGTTTTTAGGAACAGTTCTCCGGATATAACTCTGCCTAGCTTGGTAGAGAGAAATAGGACTATAGGAACTAGTTTAAACATAATTTTAAGCACTTGCACAGTTTGGGCTGTGAAGAAATGCAAAGCAGAAAGTCTCCAAACAGAAATTCTCTCACAAGAGTACAGGATGAGATTCCCACAGGAAAAATAGAGGCCTTGCTGGACTGGCAGGTAAAAACAACTGCAGTGTAAACAGTGTAAGTAACAGTGGTAACAAGTTCAATGAGTTCCTGCTCCAGGCATGTAACTGATTCTGTAATATCTATCTTAGAGACATAATCTGGAAAGGTTATGGGAAAATTTAAGATTACCTCTCGTCTCTGCTTTTCCAGTGAGAGGATCTGCTGTTCCAGAGAACTGGCTGATACAGTCTTCTTTTTGGTCAGTAACATGTGCCTTGACTGGAGAAAAGAAATGTTCAAAAACAAATGCTTCTGGCATCCTCTCTTCAAGTCAAGATTATCACATAAATCCACCCTGCCATGTGCATGTAAAGCTTCTTTGTGTCTTTTCACAGGCAAAAATCCTTTACCATGTATTTGTCCCATGGCCAGTCTTGCTGAACTCTAACTTGGAGCACTGGACTCGTGTCAGAATTTAAGCCATCTTCCTATAGAAGTTCATGACATTTTTAACTTAAAGTATCTGAAGTAACTACCTGTCAGTCAATGGAGTTATTCACAGGTTGACTTGTTTTCAGAATCGGGGCCTGGGGCATGTAGTTAAGTACATACTTAAAAGTTCTATTAAAGTGAACGGAAGAACTCACTATATATCTATACTATGAATCTAACCACTTGGCACCAATTGGCCTGAATACTGCTTATACAAGTTGTTGGGTCACTAAAATGAACCACTTTCTACCCCTTGTTTAACAACAAATTTAAGTGACCAGGTACTTTCAGGTGAAAAAGAAAACAAAAATGTCAGGAAGATTTTCTTTCTAAGAATGCTGTATCCAAAAATATTTCTAACATTTCTTTCTACTCTTAAACAGCATAAATCTAGTAGACAATAATAAATACAAAAAATAATAAATTAAAAAAAAAAATCTAGTAGACTATAACAACAAATAAAATCCAGTAGACAAATCTACCGGAGCACAAAAATAAGCCTGTAATTGTCCATCTACAAAGCGATATCTGCACCAGCTCAAGCTGTTCCTGTTAATCAGAGAACTTCAGAAGACAGCCAGAATAGTCACTTACTTCTAGTAGGTCTGCTGGGGCTTCCATGTCACTCACACCTGCCCACCCGCATCCAAGATGGCCTTGAGCATTTGTTTCACTACGGGCCTTTGGAAGAAGAAGAAGAACAAAAGAGATATTTCACATTGGCTAAAGGAGCATTGCATTAAGAAGAATTGCATTAAGACCCAGAGGATCCACGAGAGCTGCTTGTGGAAGCAGCCAAGGTTCAGAAATAAGTGGTGGAATTTTGATTTTAACTTTTTCCTCCTTCCTGGCTGGGGCTTCCCAGAAGGGCTGAAGCACACTGCCTATGACTAATATGCCAGGCAAGGCAGTACTCTGCTTGGTATGCATGTAAATCACAATCAACTGGTCAGTTCACCCCAAGAGAGGAAGTTGCATGGCTAAGGGAAGGAAGGGTATGTTTTTTTTCAGTAAATAAGAGGACAGGGTTTTCTATCCCTGCTTCTGGTTGTAAAAAAAGGACTTACATAAGTATGACAAGTATTAAGTGACACTAAGACAGTGTGAACGATCATGATAGAAAAATTAGTGAGTCATGCTTAGAAAGGAGTAACAGCAAAGTCTGTTAACTGCTATGGGGAAGAGCACACGCAAGCTCCAAGATGTTTAGGGGAAACCCATAATTGGAAAACTCATTTACTTTCCCTGAAGAAAAGCTGCACAAAAATGAAGAACAAGTGCTGTTACTCTTCTCCCAAGGACATCATACTTGTAGTTCTAGTACTTATCTAAGCATGGATCTAGCTTCAAGATACTCAGGTCTTCGCTTGAGTACTCAAGGTATCAAACACTTCAAACTTGTGTCTTAGTTCCCCATTTGAAAAAAGAGGTTAACCCTAACAATTACAGGAAAGACTAACAAAGAAAAGGCTTCCTCAGACTTCACATACAAAGTCAAGATGAAATAGAGAAGTGCAAATTATTGTTGTCTTCAGTCTTGGAATTCTGAATAATGATCAGTTTGAGACAGAGGCATAACAGAAAAAATACTTTCTTTCTTGTGGAAAGGTTCCTGGGTCTGAGGCATCTCGATGGGGGCAGAGGTACCTTATTCCCTTTTCAAGGAATGGAACGGAAACTAGCCTGTTAAATTCAACATCAAGTAATAGAAATCTGTGGGAGTTGTTTCAATTTACAAAAAAAGGGGTTTAGACAAAATACAGTAATCCTGTGAAATGGTGGAACATAACAGGCACATTCCAGATGTCTGGTTTTGAGTGACTAATCAACTCCTTTTTTTGCAAGATGCAAACCTTAATTTGGAAGCAAGCTACTATTTTATCATATTTGCATATGAAATATATCCTCCCTACCCTAATGTTCTTTTGGCTTTTTTCCTGGTTTTCGGAAAACTCATGGAGTATAAAGACAGAAATTAAAAAACAAGGTTATTTCAATAAAGACATTTTAGATTCTTCATAGGAATCACCCGACCCATCAAAACCTAAAAGAATTCCATCTGTACCTATACCAAAACCAGTCCTTGAGCACATCCTTCTCAGGTACAGGGTTGGTTTACAGGAGGATGAACCACTGGCTGATAACAAAGCAGCAATTTCCACAATTTCTTGACATACCTATAGTGAATAATCTATCATAAGAAATATGAGGCAATAATGTCAGGTAATGAAACAAAGTAAACCTCTGCACCACCAAAGCAAGGCTGAGTGAAACAGGCCATCCTCACAGAATTGGACATGTGGGAAGGCCAGCTTCTAAAATTAATAAATACACTGTGCTACCTGACAGAACATAGTAATAGTTAAACCATAAAATCCCCAGCGTGAAGAAGGAAGAGGAAGCACCACACATTTTAAAAATGAGACTGAGTATTACAGTAATATTAAAAGTTTATGTCAAATCAAAGCTTACACCTGACAACTTCAAAGCTCTTTGCTGAAGAAAATAACCCTATTCGACACAATGGGGAACAGACCAACTCTGTGCTAAAGCTCATCCAGATGTTAGGTGTCAGATCAGGGAATGATGATGTCTCCTTCCACTCAGTCTGTCAGTCACAGCTGCATCTACAGCATCCACCAGCAGGCTGTCACTGCAACATTTTGAGTTCTGACAGTACTACAGTTAGGGCACATGAAGAGTTAAGAATCAGCTGCTGAAGGAGAGGATCCTGTAGCTAGACACAAGTGACATGAAAAGCAGTTTTCCATCACCTTCTCACAGCTACCTTGCACTGGCCTGCTATAGTCCTATAGGTTATAAACTCCTGGAAACTGTCTCTTCTCTATAAAGTACAAGCACTGTGCATCTGATTCATAAAAATACAAACAGAACACTTCCACATGGCACTTCAGCTCTTGAGGGCAATGATCATTAAGCACAGACACTTTCCCTGATGCCAGCTCAGCAGTCCTATCCCCACCTCAGCAGAAGCGAAGCTTTGGGACAAAGCTCAGGTTAAACAGGTGCATTTTATGGCCTGGCCTGGGGTTTTGGCAGGCCCAGTTTTGGATCTCCTCACACTGGCACACTGCAATATGCTATGTGAGGCACCAGGCGGTCATAGCACCCTGCAGCAGGGACAGAAGAGCAAACCCAGGGCACAGCCCTACCCAGGAATCACAGCTCCCACTTTAAAGATATTAGTGTTCAAATTACTTTGAAGAGAGGATGAGGCTAAGACCCTAGAGAGCACACAGCTGTTCCTGTTATTTAGTTCTAAACAGTTTTCTGTCCTTTTTTTCAGTCCTTTATTCTTGATATCCTAATGACCATCTTAATGACTACTTAAAGTGAATGATTCTCTCTTGGAGCAGAGATGCAAAGATATCATTTATAGGGAATTATCTCATTGTAACACTTCCTTTTCACTTCCAAAGGTGAAGCTCCTGGAAGAGCAGACACTAGAACACCAACAGCATCTCCACTTCTCCCCCTTTTTGTGCCAAAATGACCTGCATGTTTGATCAATTTCACTCACTGGGAGCCTACCACAGTGACGGACCAGCAACAGCCGTTGTCCTTTCCCACACAAGGGCTGTGAATTAAGAGTTTTGGGTCAAGTTTTGCTCTTTGTGGAAATAGCTGGTCTTTGCATGCAGTTTGGGACGGTCCATTCATGTAGTTTACACCAGCCTCATTTACCAGGCAAATCTTTCACCTAAGATTACAGAATCTTGGTCTTTCCCTCACAAGCACTTTTTTGTACCAATTGTCATGTAAGAATAGTATGGGGTATTGGAAAGAAAAGAGTATGTCTAACAAAAGTTCAGGATCTTCAGAGGTGGTGGTATTCTCTAGCAAAAGCTGGGAGAGGTTGAAGCAAAGTTGCTTTCTCTCTCTGTGGAAACAAATAATAGCACTGAAAAGAAAGACGAGGAGATGACAACATTCAGTTTCTTTGGTATTGCAGATATAAAGACACCACATCGGTTTATCAGTCTATTGCTACACAATGAAGAACAACTTGCTTGTACAACAGTATTTCAGATATCTGAGATATATAAAAATCCTTGAAAGACAGACTCTTTTTGACAACTATTACATTTAAGTTAAAAAAAAAACAAAACATATTTTTAAGGCATTTATACTTGGTTTGAAGCTATTGAATCAAATATGTCATTTTAAATTGCTGAGAGAATTCTGGCTGAAGACCAGAGTGTAAATGCAGTCACAAACCTAAAATAATATTTACAGATCCAAGCAAACTTCCAAAAAGCTGAAAACACAGACTCAGCAGTATTGTCCAAGGGCAAGGCAGTGTGCGTTTGCTAGGTGCTGCACTGTTTGGTAAACATCTGCAGAAAAGCAGAGAAGATACCCAGGAGAAATGTGGGAATGTCAGCTGTGCACTGTGCTAGTAGGATGTCCACTGATGCTAGCCAAGGTGTGCAGCCCCCAGCAGCTGCCTGAGCCCCTCCTGCAGCCATGGCTGAACTGGCACCTCAGATGTGGGCAGCACCCTGGCTGTGCACACGCTGGACACTGCCATGCAGATCAGCACTGTCTGTAGCACCACAGCAAAGGGCTCGTGGGGAAAATCTACCCACACTTTCATCACACACAACTGAAAATCAGATTTTACTGTGGTGAAACCATACCTGCTTTAGCTGTTAACATGCAAATCAATACTTGCTAAATGTGATGTAACAGGCAAGACAAGCTGGTTTTATAAAGCCAAATCTACTGCTTCCATGAACCTTAATTTCCTTGATTATTTCATCTCTTCCTCTTTAAATGAACAAGTCAGTCTGTGTCATAGCATTTACTGGTTATATTAAAAAAAAAAATCAGATAAAGCAGACTGCAGGGAATAGTCTCTGAGTGGAGAAATACAAACTTGGCAACCTCTTACATATTACTGCTTCTGACTCTTCCATAAACACATGTAAAACTCCATCACAGTCTGCAGTGGACTGTGTTACTTTTTTAAAGCCTCCCTAAAATACACAGACCTACAGACCTTTATCAAGCTAGGGTCCATCACAGATTTTAGAGGCAAGAGCCTAAGCAATTTACATTCTCTTTTCATCTCTTTCTCCTCCCTCACTTGTCCTTCAAATCTCTTTCCAGAAAGTCACTTTCTTCACATGCTCCTTCTAACCATCCCAAACAAAGAAACAAAACATCATTACTCCTGCTGCTGGGCTGTGATGTGGAGTTGTAGCATCAGCCACCACTGAATATAAATAAACTTCTCTTTACATTTGAGCATAGTTCACATAAACATGGAAAGTAAAGGAAAGAAATGGAGCAGTGTGTGCTCCCCAGATGAACAAGATTGTCAGCTTAAGGAAATGAAGCTAACATAGCAAGAATGATCACCCCCTGTCTTTGGAGAGCTGATCAGATCTGGTTCCTTCTAGAAGTGTGGTTGGTAATTTCTCTTCTACTAATGTACACATGAGCCCTTCTGTTCCTCAGCTTTAACTACCTCTATCTACTAGAATGACTGATCAAAACGTGATTAAACATATTAAGAAAATACTACAGTGAGCCAACCTCCACTTGCAAGTTTGACTAATATTCTTAAACCTTATGTAATGTCTGTGAATCCTGTTAAAGCATGTAAATTACCCTAATCATCATGAATTCTTAGTGATACCTTTACCTAATTTTCTCCCACTCTTGACACTCTTTTCTCCCTGGTGGCAGAAGACAATTAGCCACATATTTTTAAAAACTCATCAGGCAGCTTTGATTGCTATGACAGATGGTATATAATTCATCTTCTATTTTTGTTCACAGCTGTCTAGTATTACTCTAAAGACTGGAGTGAAGGGGGAAACATCTTCTTTTGTAGCAATTGTTGGGTTGTTTTTATCTGTTGCTGTTGTTTTGTTTTGTGTTTTGAGCACACTCAGGGAAGAAAGTTTCAGATACTTTGGATTTTTTAATGCCTGGCAGGGAGGTAGAGGCCAGAAGCCCCTGTAAAGAGACTGCTTTGAGGAACAGGAATAAGCCAGTCAGCTACCAGGTATGGAAAAAACTTCCCAGGAAGCAAATGGGACCAGGCAGGTTTTGCTGCCCCTCAGAAAGTCACCGAGATAACTCACAAATGACAGCAAGTGACTCCACCTGCAAGGACAGAGTGGGCTGAACTGCTTAGAAGCCTTGTATTAGTTTCCATCCTATTTTATGATATTCTGTTAATTTCTTAGTACCAACTTTGAGATAGTTTGGTTCGGGGGGTTTTCCCCCTGTTTAAAAATAAGAACTATTTTAGTTTGTATTCTAGGAAGACCTGACCTTTCTGACTGTAAAAGACTCCTAGTCATCTCTGGGGAGCTTGCAATGGAAGAAAAATCAAAGCCTTGAAGCTGTGGCCAACACTGAATCCTCGCACAACCATGAGCACCACAAGAAGATGAAAGTTCTCATTTTCAGAGTGCTGGATCTTTCTTCTGGGAAAGGCTTCTGTTAGAGTATTACAAAATAGGCACTCACAAGTTAAGATAATGAAAGCCACTCGTCACTTCTAAAAATTCCGTCTGTTCAGTAACTGCAGCGAAACCAAGAACCATTAAATGCTTGATTCAAGTAAAAGTGAATCTTTCCTTGATGATGACAAAATGGTAAAATCATCCTGTTTTTTTCTCCTTCCTAGCCAATGAGGCACCTGCTGTGAGCTTTGTTGGGTTCTGGTTGTTTTCATTTATTAATTGATTGATTGATTGATTGCACTGTTTGGTTGCAGAACTGTGGAAACTACATTTACTTGAAGATTTCTTGGGTTAAAATTAGTGGCTTCTGGGTAGCCTTCTGTTCCCTTACATTTTGGTTGAACTTTCTTTTGGCCTTATTCCTGAAGCTGTTATTATGCCAGCAGTGCTTGGTACAGTATCTATAACAATTCTCTATTCTGGTGCACATGGTGAAATGGCAAAAACTGAGATAATTCAGTTGAACGGTAAAATCATCTCTTAAATCAGAATAAAAATGTACCTTTTCCTGCCTAAACCTGGTCCACGTGCTTCACCCAGAGAAGTGCACTAGAAAGGGATTTTCCCTCCATTAAGTATGTCAGCCTCAACCTTTTATGCTGTTTGGTGAGGTACTCACTCTGACAGGAAAAAAAATGTGCAGATACAAATGTGTGCCTTAGTACCTGTGAACGAGATAAAATTAGAGCAAGATGTGGTTTCAGAATAAGTAAACCACAGCACAGGCTTCTGTTTCTGGATTTCCTTTATCCACTGTTTTCCAGCTTCACCAGTGAGGCTGACCGGGAGGACAAGGCCACTCACATACCTAAACATTTGCAAACTCAAGCTGGGTGATGAAAGCCCCAGTTTCATGGAACAACAACTGGGTGGTAATTTGTAACTGTGGCAAAGAGACTATTTTGAATTTTACAACATTTGCAACATTATTGCAAGTACATATAGCCCTTAAATTAAAATATTTTCTTTCTCATGTCACACCTCAAACAGGTGAGGTGCTTGAAAGTTTATTGTTTAGGTGTTTTGAGTTTATCACTATCAATTTTACTTCATGCTGACACACTTCTTTTAGTTACTACTGTTCCCTTCCTACTTGGCACTTTTATGCACCCTCACTTCCCCCGGAAAACAACCTTCAAGGGTGTAAAAACTTGATGAAGCCCTAAACATACTGAAAACACTCTGCATGAGTACTTTTTAGTGATATTTGTATTTTGATGCATTTATATTTTAGACTAGCCTGTTCCAGTCAAATGTTGAAAAGCAGGAAATTGCTTTTTTTCCCCCCCGTGGTAAAACATACATTTCTTTGATTTCTTCTATTAAAATAGCAAGTTGCTTGATCCTTTTGGCCTTCATTTTCCTCCCTCTGAAGAAGAAAGAACCCTTTCCTTCCTTAGTCACATCTTGAGGACAGGCTACGGCCTCTGTAGGACTGGAGCTCACAGTCCTCCTTGTTCACATATCTTGTGCACACCACAGCAACAAACGTCACAGAACACAGGGGAAATGGACATGCAGATGTGAATTAGAAATTATCAATTGTTTCAGTCTGTAAACAATTTCATCGTTTGCCTCCCTTTTTTGGTCAATGGCTCTAGCAAGAGTAAATGTTTCATTTAACTGAGAAGAGCTTCAATCAGTGTAAAATAATGATTCTACACTAATGTCTTCCCTCTCATTTCAGTTTAACACTTAAAAAACCCAGACAGGTTGCTCACTGAGGCAAACTACATATAGGGATACAGGCACTCGAGTCCCTTATATTAGACTAGTGAACCATATGTGAGTGTCAGGGACCTGAGTACAACAAAAGACTCCAACTACTCTGACCTGCCTGTGAGGATGTTTCTCTGTAATCTCCTCCCTTTTCCCACTCCCAGAGCAGGGAACATAGCATCAGGACAAGCTGCAACTGAAGTACTGCAGATAAAAAAATCACAGGCTGAAGGATGTGCTGAGAATTACTTCATTCTGCAGACCTACACTTCCTCTCTCTCAAATATTTGCCTTTAAAACCACAATAATATTATATATTTTTATAGAAAAAAATCCTGGTGAAAAAGGAAATTTGTTTACAGACATTTCCAGATAATAATCTTGAAAGCAATTGAAGCTCAGAAGAAATACCATTTTGCAGCATGTAATTTATACTCTTCACTCCAGAAAAAAAGTTACAGAATAAAAATTACTTGCTGGCTCTGACAAACAACTTCTTGATGAATGACCAACACTACATAGAACTGCACACTTTTTTTTCTTTATTAATTTGTTTCCTAATTCCCAAATATTCATTTTTCCTCTCATTTTAAGCCTGTAGCAGCATTAAATTTCACAAAATGACATTTTCTCTTCAGTTCCTTTAAAATATTATTTTATAACCTTCATAACTGAAAGTATATGTGGTTTGTTAAAAATATTACCTCTTTTTCTAAAAGACACAATCTGATACATGTACTCCTAGCATCTTATACCGAGGTTGGAGTTTCTCGTCACGGCTGTCAAGCTGTCACTCACTGGAAGTCCAAGTCAATAACCAGCCAAGTGAAAAACTGTTCAACCTCAAACATATTAATTAAAAATATCCAGTATGTTTCTAGTGCAAAAATATCATAAACCTTCCTCCTTTAAGCTATGAAAATCACACACACCACTTTCATAGGCAAACAAGTGCTATAAATGCAAAAAAGCATAAAAGCACTACAGATGAAATACTGCCATGGCAATCCATGTGAAGTGCTGAAGCACAGAAACGGTTGAGGCGACCACATCCTTTCTTTTTCCTCCCCACAGCCTCTAAATCCTTTCCTAGATCTCCACTTGTTGGAGAGAAGCTAACATGGGCAACCAAGTGTTTCCACAGACCATTTGTGGCTTGCTGTTCTGCCCTATAATTTCATAGCTCAACGCTATTTGATTCTGCACTGACTTCTGTTTCACTGTGCTCACTCCTCCCCTGGGGCTGGGAATCCCCATTCCTCACTGTGGCTTCTCTCTCACTGTTTCTAATCCCACTAGTCTGACCCTGGGGCATCTCCTGAGGCTCAGCTCAGCTTTGTGCCCCGAGGTCATGAGTCATTTTGGAGATTGCAGTTCACATGTGAAAGAAGCTATGCGTAATTTCAGATTTCATAGAAGAGAGTCATCTCTCCTTTACCTCCTCATCAATTTCCTGCATCACCCCTCAGGGAGCAGCCTTCAGATATTTCCTGCCCCACAAGGGAGACACACAGGCTGGTAGGTATGTGTGTCATCCCTTGCAGGTAGATGACATTTGTAGTTTAACCACTCCTCTCCTCCACATCCCTCACTCCCCCTTTCTCGGTTTGCAGAAAACAGGGATTTCCTTTCATCCTCCTACTGCATGACAAGAAGGAGTTCATTAATTTAGGGGAGAGAAGGGAAACTGAGAGGGAAACCTAGAACAAGTTTCTGTCATGCTTGTTAACCGCCGCTTCGCTGCAAGCAAAGGCAACCATCTTGGCAGGTGGCTTACAATTTTCTGTCTGTAATACCACAGAAGTATGGGTTTGAGTCATCATCTTTCTTCCTATTTATCTAAAAACCTTTCTGACACTCCCTAAGATCTTTGTCTGTATAGCTCTGCTCATCATTAGTTAAATCAGAACTACTAAACACAACAGCCTAAAGAAATGTCAGTGCTCCTAGGGTGTAGAGCTTTGTGGACCTGTGTTATCCACAAGGCACATCGGGCTATGGAAGGTGGCACTTTGGACCTTTTAAAGCACTATAAAATGCCTTCTCAATCAGTTTTAAAAGAAAAAAAAAAAAAAAGTGTAGCAAGTTCATTGCATCATTTCAGAAATCAAAAAGTTGCATGCATAATCAAGTCACCCACGGAACATCCCCTGAAAGTTCTTTCCTGGCAAACAAACATTGCAAAAACAGGCTGCATTTACCTTAGAGGAACACAATGTTCTCTGACGGTTTGGACTCTCTTGGGCAATAGGTTCGGGGTCCTCACATGACTGGGAAGTGTTATTCTTCTCTATCAGGTTCCTTATTTCAACATCGAGCTCTTTACTTTCACACCTGCTTAGAAAGAAATGGCAAATTTGTCAGCTGTCTTCTGATGTGCCAAGGCAGACAGCAAAGCTAGTCCTGCACTGAGCTCCTGCCACCTTTCCTTCTGGTATGCTAACAGAGAGCCCTAGAGCGGTGTCACCCAGGCAATCTCCAAGGGCTTTGTGGCAGAAGTTGATTTAAAATATGTTAACAAGTAGTCTTTATGAATTTTATTAGCTTGTGCCTGTAAAATCCTAGTCAACCCTTTTGGAAATTAGATGAAAACTGTCACATGCCCTGAACCTCTCCCACCCACCTGCAGTTTCAAAAATTTTATATTCAACTTGAACAAAAATGCAATCAAAATGATTAAACTGGTTTTGAACTCCTAAAGTATATGCTCAGTTCACAAAGTTTTTTGATGGCACATTTTTCTTTAACAGTTCACAACAGATACATGACATGCCTTTTTTTTTTATTTATTTCCTGAAAGTTCCTTTTAAAAACATTCATAGTTTATAAAAATTATTCTGGTGAATGCAAGAATTACATTTGTTTGCTGGGACAATTCTTTTCTTTCGGAGACACAAGACTTACGTGCACTTAAGGGCTTTTTCCAAATTGACAGAACTAACTAGCAGTTAGGACTGATTCACTTGATACACCATAGTGGTAAAATGTGACTTGCAGCAAATAGATTGAGACCTTACTAAAACAAACCCCAACAAGCCTTAGACCCAACCAAAGTTTTCAAGACATACTCATATCTTTTGCTGGCTCCAGCCTTCCTTTTCCTAATCGACTTCAATCAACTCTGAGTAATGCATGTCCAGAAAGCAAAGCTCAAAAGTATTACCAGCCTATAATAGCATGATTACTTCTTGATTTAGGCAGAAAATACTAAATTCTTAATTTGAACTACCAAAAGGAATGAAAGCAGTAAGAATTTATCAGTTATATTTACTGCAGTTTACACAGGCAATCCACAGGTGTCGCACTGCAGGTTCCAAGGAAACTCTGGTAGGGCAATTGATACAATTATCCAATAAGCAAACCCATCCAACCCAATCATGAGTAAATACGTGTGGTGAATTCCATGCTGAGAGCATAAAATGACTCACTTTATTCTTGCTATCTACAATACAGAGACTATAACAAATGTGTTTTCATTAAGCATGGATGTGAAATCATTTGCAGAGGTACTACAATAAAATACCAACAGTAGCAAATAAGGACAAGTAACACTCAAGAGCTTTTTTTGACTTGCTGCCTAGCAGTTGGAATTTTGTGGCAGTTTCAGAGCTGCCATGTAGCCTGTCTGTACCAAAAAAAAAACCAAAAAATTTTATGGCAGAAGATACTTGATGTGCTTTGAG